TAATTTAAATTCCAATAAATAAAGGTTAACTTACTTGTTTTTCGCTGTCGAGATGGCACCACAATTGGGCATTTGATTTGCGAACTCATCACATTATCAGCATCTCGTCAGCAACTCAAATCAAATCAAATTTTATTGGTCACATACACATATTTAGAAGATGTTATTGCGAATGTAGCAAAATGCTTGTGTTCCTAGCTCCAACAGTGCAGTAGTATCTAACAATTCACAACAATACACACAAATCTAGGACCTCTATACCAGGCGGTGTCAGAGGAAGGCCATCAAAATTGTCAAAGACTCCAGCCACCCTAGTCATAGACTGTTCTCTCTGCTACCGCATGGCAAGCGGTACCGGAGCGCCAAGTCTATGTCCAAAAGGCTTCTCAACAGCTTCTACCCCCAAGCCATAAGACTCCTGAACAGCTAATCATGGCTACCTGGACTATTTGCACCCCCACCCCATCTTTTTACGCTGCTGCTACTCTGTTAATTATTTATGCATAGTCACTTTAACTCTACCCACATGTATATATTACCTCAACTACCTCAACTAGCCGGTGCCCCCGCACATTGACTCTGCACCGGTACCCCCCTGTATATAGCCTCCCTACTGTTATTTTATTTTACTTCTGCTCTTTTTTTCTCAACACTTTTTTGTTGATGTTGTTTTATTTTACTTTTTTATTAAGAAAAAAATGCGTTGTTGGTTAAGGGCTGTAAGTAAGCATTTCACGGTAATGTCTACACCTGTTGTATTCGGTGCATGTGGCAAATAAAATTTGATTTGATTTGAAATCTAAAATAATGAAATTAAGAAATATATAAATATTGGGACGAGCCATGTCGGAGTGGCATTGACTAAAATACAGTAGAATAGAATACAGTATATACATATGAAATGAGTAAAGCAGTATGTAAACATTATTAAAGTGACTAGTGTTCCATTTTTAAAGTGACCAGTGATTCCATGTCTATGTAAAGTACCTTCGGGAAGTATTCAGACCCATTGACTTTTTCGACATTTTGTTAGGTTACAGCCTTATTCTAAAATTGATTACATTGGGGTTTTTTCCCGCATCTGTCTACACACAATAGCCCATAATGACAAAGCAGCCTCTATGGTGCAGGGTTGAGTAACAGGGTGGTAGCCGGCTAGTGATGGCTATTTAACAGTCTGATGGCCTTGAGATAGAAGCAGTTTTTCAGTCTCTCGGTCCCAGCTTTGATGCACGTGTACTGACCTCGCCTTCTGGATGGTAGCGGGGTGAACAGGCCGTGGTTCGGATGGTTGATGTCCTGGAGGGCAGGCAGTGTGCCCCCGGTGATGCGTTGGGCAGACTACAACACCCTCTGGAGAGCCCTCTGCAGAACCCTGCGGTTGCGAGCGGTGCAGTTCAAATAAAATCAAAGCAAACTTTATTTGTCACATGCGCCGAATACAACAGGTGTAGACCTTACCGTGAAATGCTTACTTACAAGCCCTTAACCAACAATACAGTTCAATAAAGAGTTAAGAAAATATTTACCAAATAATCTAAAGTAAAAAATAATAAAAATAACAATAACGAGGCTATATACAGGGGGTACCGGTACCGAGTCAATGTGCGGGGGTACAGGTTCGTAGAGATAATTTGTATACGTAGGTAGGGGTAAAGTGACTGTACATAGATAATAGACAGCGGGTAGCAGCAGTTGTAAAACAAATGTGTGTGGGGGGGGGGTTGTCAATGTTAAATAGGAGCAGAGTGCAAACAATTGTCTAGGATTGGGTGTCAGTAGTCTTTTTAAATTTTTTGGGCTAGCTGGAGGTAGAAGCGTTAAGGAGCCTTTTGGTCCTGATTGGCGCTCCGGAAGTTCGAGGTAGCAGAGGGAACATCTTGACTGGGGACGGAGTCTTGACATTTTTGGCTCCTCTGACACGCAGATGCCTGGATGGCAGGAAGCTGCCCAGTGATGTAGGACCGTATGCACACCTCTGTAGGCCTTAGGTCAGATGCCGAGCAGTTGCCATACCAGGTTGTTATGCAACCGGTCAGGATGCTCTCGATGGTGCAGCTGTAGAACCTTTTGAGGATCTGGGGACCCATGCCAAATCTTTTCAGTCTCCTGGGGGAGCCCTTTTCACGCGGTCCTTGGTGGTTGTTGTCCCATGATAGTTTGTTGGTGATAGGACACCAAGGAACTTGAAACTCTCGACCCACTCCACTACAGCCCCATCGATGTTAATGGGGGCCTGTTTGGCCCGCCTTTTCCTGTAGTCCCCGATCAGCTCCTTTGTCTTGCCGTACCAGACAGTGATACAGTCCGACAGGATGCTCTCAATTGTCTATCTGTAAAAGTTTGTGACTGTCTTAGGGGCCAAGACAAATTTCTTCAGCCTCCTAAGGTTGAAAAGGCGCTGTTGCGCCTTCTTCACCACACAGTCTGTGTGGGTGGACCATTTCAGATTGTCAGTGATGTGTAATCCGAGGAACTTGATGCTTTCCACCTTCTCCACTGCGTAGCCGTTGATGTGGATAGAGGCGTGCTCCCTCTGCTGTTTCCTGAAGTCCACAAGGTTATTTTCCTGGAACCACTCCGCCAGGGCCCTCACCTCCTCCCTGTAGGCTGTCTCGTCATTGTTGGTAATCAGGCCTACTACTGTTGTGTCGTCTGCAAACTTGATGATTGAGTTGGAGGCGTGCGTGGCCACGCAGTCATGGGTGAACAGGGAGTACTGGAGGGGGCTGAGCTCGCACCCTTGTGGGTCCCCTGTGTTGAGGATCAGCAAAGTGGAGGTGTTGTTTCCTACCTTCACCACCTGGGGGTGGCCCGTCAAGAAGTCCAGGACCCAGTTGCACAGGGCGGGGTTCAGATCCAGGGCCCGGAGCTTAATGATGAGCTTGGAGGGTACTATGGTGTTGAAGGCTGATCTATAGTTAATGAACAGCATTCTTACATAGGTATTCCTCTTGTCCAGATGGGATAGGACAGTGTGCAGTGTGATGGCGATTGCATCGTCTGTGGATCTATTGGGGCGGTATGCAAATTGAAGTGGGTCTAGGGTGACAGGTAAGGTAGAGGTGATATGATCAATAACTAGCCTCTCAAAGCACTTCATGAGGACAGAAGGGAGTGCTACGGGGTGATAGTCATTTAGTTCAGTTACCTTTGCTTTCTTGGGGTACAGGAACAATGGTTGACATCTTGAAGCAAGTGGGGACAGCAGACTGGGATAGGGAGAGATTGAATATGTCCTTAAACACTCCAGCCAGCATGCTCTTTGGACGCGGCTAGGAATGCCGTCTGGGCCGGCAGCCTTGCGAGGGTTAACACGCTTAAATGTCTTGCTCACGTCGGCCACAGAGAACGAGAGCCCACAGTCCTTGAGAGCGGGCCGCGTCGGTGGCACTGTGTTATCCTCAAAGCGGGTGAAGAAGGTGTTCTGCTAGTCCCGGAGCAAGACGTCGGTGTCCGCGACGTGGCTGGGATTCCCTTTGTAATCCGTGATTGTCTGTAGACCCTGCCACGTGTCTGAGCAATTGAATTGTGACTCCACTTTGTCTCTGTACTGACGTTTTGCCTGTTTGATTGCCTTACGGAGGGAAGGCTGCAGCACAGCATTTTGGAGAAAGTTGAGGTCAGGTCCAACATGCACCCAAGAGGGAAATAAGTTTTAGAGTAATATAATATATCAAATTTATCAGACACTTTTATCCAAAGCAACTTATTCACGTGTGAATAAATTTTTACTTGTGGGTGGCCCTGGGAATTGAACCTACTATCCTGGTGTTGCAATGCTCTACCAAGATGCATGGCAGGGTTGTAAATTTGTGATGCCTCAATTTAATATGATGTAAGGCCTTTAGTAAGCGGTGCTTATGCCACCCTTTATAAAGCACAGGTTTATGTCATATTTGACATATTGGGTTATGTCACACAGTTATGCCACATTTATGAACCCGTTATAAAGCATGACATTATAGATGATTTGTAACACATTTATGTATTGTTTATGAAGGCTTTATGAAGCCTTTATAAGCTGCATTTGTCATTTAAATCGAGACCAATATTCCTACCTAAATACATTTGTATTTTAACAGAGGGTCTAGCACTTGTCTCCTATTTGTCTGCCTCTTCAGTCCAGGGTGCATTGCATGGTGCCGTTGCGAATGTCAGACTCCACTGTGAGGCAAATCGATCTGCAGGTTGAACATGGTGAGATTGTAGACTCCTAAAATAGTGCAGTTTGTTTAGGCAATTTTACACCCAGCCCATAGAGAGAGCATTGCCTTGTGGATTTTGTAGTCGACTTGAGCTGAAACAGATTTCCACAACAATTTTCATATGATGCTACCAACCTTATAATAATGCCAAAATGAAACATTAGTTTAAAAAAACGATTGTTCTCACATATTAGTGTTATTTAACACTGTAAATTATAGGAATGAGTGGTTTTGGGTGGATTTTCTAAGAAAGGCTTTGAACACCTTGGAGGGCCTGTGTTACAAAATGGTATCTGTTTTTCTCTATATGGTTTCCTTGACGCTGAAAATATCTAATTTTCCCCAGGTGTTGGTGACCATTTGCATATCACACCATGTCAGGCGATTTTTTTTTGTAAATCTCACAAGTATAAGAATCAAGTGAGGAGCTGAGTTTAGGAGGTCATCGTGGATTACAAATGATCTGTCTTGATTTTGGATTTAGAATACATGTAATCAATGTATTATTTTGAATTTTTATGTATTAATTTTAATGCATGCAGGATACAAATTGTAATATTGTTTGATTTAGGCTATGAATTTTGTTATCAGGACAATGTATGGCTGTCTATATTGGTGAGCATACTGTAGATGTGGGCAAAACTATCAATGAATCAACAAGTCAAGGAATTATCCATTTAGGTTTTCTGTTCTTTGTGATTTCATTGTTTTAACTTATATGTAAGCTACAGAATAAGGATTTGCTCCTCTTCTTCAAACATTGACAGCACATCTTTACCAACTCCCAGGACCATGGAGAACTCTACTCACTTCAAGGTCTTTAGGCTTGCTGCATACGGTGATATCGGACAATTGAAGTATTTCTACTTTGCTGTAGTAACTGTATTATATTTTGTCATCATTCTTGCCAATTCTTTCCTTATTGGAGTTATCTGCATTGAAAGAAGCCTTCATGAACCCATGTATCTGTTTATATGTGCTTTGTTTGTTAATCAGTTGTATGGGAGCACTGGTTTGTTTCCTGCTCTCATGTTTTACTTGCTCTCTGACACACGTGATATTTCCCTTCTTTATTGTTGTCTCCAGATTTATGTGTTGTACACATACAGTTTAACAGAATTTAGTAATTTAGCAGTTATGTCCTATGACAGGTACATTGCTATTTGTTATCCTCTAGAATATAACAATATTATGACACCTAAAATAATTTGTGGCTTAATTCTACTGCCCTGGGTGTATTCTTTTTTCATCAACGCCATCATTATCTCCCTGACTTTGCGACTGCAATTTTGTGGTAACGTTCTAGATAGAGTGTATTGTGACAACTACTCCGTAGTCATGCTTGCATGTTCAAATACTATACTGAATAACATATCGGGTCTTGCTGGCGCTTTGCTGACTTTTTCTTGTACTACATTTCCTACCATATACTCATATGTAAGAATTCTACAAATATGTTTAAAGTCTTCAAAAGAGACGAAACAGAAAGCATTTAACACTTGTACGCCACATATAGCCTCTTTGCTGAACTTCTTCTTTGGCTGTTTATTTGTGATTGTACAAGGCAGATATGATGCTGCACATCTTCCACCTATACTTCGCACTATTTTATTTGTTTATTTTCTGGTATGTCCACCACTTTTCAATCCTTTTATGTATGGCATTAGGATGGTTAAAATCAGGCAGGCTTGTATAAAGGTACTAGGCCTAAACCCTGAAAAATAACCTGATTGTTCATTTTTGTAATATTGAATTATGTGTTTTGTTACTAATAGTTGCTATAATTGACTGTACAAATAGGTGTCATTTTGGCATAAATTCTCTGTAGCCCAAAGATTATTTACAAAATTGCAGCAAGTTTATTATGTATTGTAAGTGAGAATGTTTTGTGTCATGTTAGCTAATTAACTGCATAACTACGGAGCATCAAAGGGAACTGCTCTCCCTACCTTCAGGCTATGCTCAAACAGATGCTAAGTGGGATCTTTGGGATGACCCTACTACACCCCAACCCATTCTGCCACCTCTGGTCTATTGGCCCAACTAACTTTAGGACAGCTGTGTCCCTGCCCATCTTCCTAAAACGTCTGTCATCGTGAAAATGTTTTATTTTGTTGCAGTTTTCAAGTTAATTTCCTGCAGTTCTACACTTTTTGCCATGAGGCAGAGATAAAGGGAACATGAAGGTTGTATAGTGCAGGTGTTTCTGCAATGTATATGTAACGTGTGCTTACATTATTCTAGCAGGGATGGTTTATGACTGGTTTGTCTCCATTTGTAAGCCATTACAATATCATAGCATAATGACCCCTTATAATGTGAAGATGTTGTTAACCTTGGTATATTTTATTCCCATAACCATTTTCTCTCACTTAGCAGTTGATAAATTATCCTGTGTTGAAAGTGCACTGAGTAACCTGTATGGTATGGTATATGTATCATAGCAAGCCTAGTGGTTTTAATTGTTGTGTTAATTGTGCTCTCATATGTAAAAATATTACTTGTTTGATTAAAAGCCTAAAAGGAGTCACAAAAGGCTTTTAATACGTGTGCTCCCCACTTGATCTCTTTCATCAACTTCTCTGCAGCCACCCTTTTTTCTCTTATTTACAACAGGCACAACACAGCAACCAGAGAGGTTAATGTATTAATATCAGTACAGTTCATTCTGTTCCATAGCCGTGGGGGAAAAAACACTATACCTGCGCTACATAAGGCTATTTCGGTCTGTTAATGCAGGACTTGTAATGGCTCAGTGCACTACTTTTGTGAGAAAAAAAGTTGCCCAAAAATATTCATATTTTTAAGTAACTCTGATTTTTCAGGGGTGCATCACCCTCAGCACCCCTACTTCCTGTGGCTATGTTATGTTCCATCACTGTTGCACCCTATCATATTGGGATTAGGACCAAGGAGATCAGAAATCTGAACCTAAACTGGTACCAATTATGACTTTAGATTGTACAGTAGCAGGGACAGGGTTACCGGTTTGAATCCCAGGACTGACAGGAATATCTGTCAGAATGTGAGCTGCCAGAACTGCTGGAAGAACTGAATGCTTATACTGTACATTTCTTTTTATCATCAACCTAATCATTTGTATTGCATTTTATTTCTGTAAATTCTTATGCATTTCCATTAAATTTATTTTACTGTTGTGGTTACTAAAATAAACACTTTTGCTGGTCCAAGCTGTAATGATAAGGAAGATCCGCCGACACTGTACTCTGTTTTCAAAGGTTTATTATAACAAAGAGTTTACAGCATCGAATTTTGACAGACTCCTGCAGATGTCTGGAAAACAGCCCGAGCCAATCTGATTAGCTATTCTTCCTATTCTATTGTTCAGACATGGTTTTATATCCTTTGTGACGTATTATGGTGTGATTCTAAAAAACCAATCCCAGGCCATTACATATCCTCCTTTCCAGGAATTTAGTAATGCTTTCCAGATGTTTTCCAGCACAGTAGAGTACACCATTTTGCCACATCAGCAAAATCTTAGGGCCAAGTTCCCTCTATCACACTTTTCTGCAACAATCAGCATTTGTAGACTGTTTAAGATACTACATATTCCCCCCTTCGAGACTAATTAAGTCTCGAAAACAAAAAGAATAGGATTATGACAAATAACAATTCTTGCTCTTGAGTAACTTTAACAATAAACCAAAATTAATGGAGATTAAACACATGTTTATATAGACACATTTTTGTATGTAGTGTAAATACATTATTATGGAGTGTAAATAAATTGTCATGGAGTGTAAATGAATTGTCATGGAGTGTAAATGAATTGTCATGGAGTGTAAGAGCGAAAAACCTGTCTGGCAGCTTTCATTCCAAATATCCATCAGTCAGTCAAGACAGGAAAATTCTCTCACGGCCCCTCTGCCCTAGGCGACCACCTAAGTACTCCAGATCAATTCACACATCTTCATGAATACATTTTAAGCTATGATGCAATTGAATACATATGAAAACCCCAGCAAACAAAATACAATCAAAATGTCCACATTCAGGCTGGTCGACCCATCGGACCCTCCTGTGGATTCTCTCTGTCCTTGCCTAGACCCCATATCCCTAAACTTCAACGAAATAAACAAAAACATCTGAGGTCCCCACATGTACCCAACACAGAAAACATAATTGTTCAAAAATTAATACAGAAAGAATATAACACTGGAATGTAGTCCACTACACTTCATCTCCTCCACAGTGTCGTCTTTCAATGCGACGTTGATGATGGAATCGGAACATTTCCACTCCTTCCTTGTTCCACTTCCTCCAGTCCATTCATATTGTCCATGTTTGAGTATTTGAGTCCCTCTACATATTCCCCCATATGCTTCTGGAAGAAAAGAAAATACCAAACAGTATCTTTTGCAAAACAACACATGCAAATTAAAACATCAATGTCAGCTAAAAATATAAGAATGTATATTTAAGATTATATATAAAATGAATCACATTCCATTTCCCCCCTTTGATTCATCACAATAATATAATCGCTCCACAATCAGATATTCCAAATTTCCTAGAGTTATTTCAACCCTAGTTTCCATAACATTTTAGTCTACCTTTTTCCAATTTTTATTTTTCTCTAATTTTTCGAAAACCCATTTCACTGATTTATTCACAAAACTCTTTCCCATTTTCTGAGGATATTAAATCGGGAAATTCCCACCTGCTTATGACTTCTTTACACAAGAACTCTGCAACCGACTGAGCATCTTTTAGCTTAGTTGAACATCTTATGAACCTCTTGGTATATGAATGTAACCAAGAATAACAGTCACACATTATTTTTCAGACAGATTATGCACCTACCTATGACATAGTCAATCTATTCAAGAAAATATGGTTCCCAAAAACTATACTCCTTTGTGATTTTTATCCTAATCTCCCATTTACAACATAAGCTAACCCATAGCTTACTAAATCATCATGGTTTCTCCAAAACAATAATTGATTGTTACTCTAACGATTTTTCTATTTTCTTCAAAACACTTGCTTTTGAAAGTCCTTCAATTCCTGGTTCAATCCCTTGGATTGCTTCATTTTTCAATGGATACTGATTCTTCCAAGGAGGTCTGCCTCCTCAACTTTCATCTCAATTGAGCTGATTTCACAAATCCAATATCAGTCCTACTTTAATATCTCAAACATTCTTGAACTTTTTCAACATCTCTTCTTTCATAGATTCTCAATTCATCTTCACACTTCAAATATATTAATTTGTCTTCCGTACAGCTTATGACTCTCCTTGTCCTTGAGCCAAAATCATCATCTTCAGAAATCGTGATCTTCACTCCTCCAAATCCTTCTCCTAATTTAGTTGATTTGTCATAGTGAGATGTGTAACCTCTTCAGGCTGAACACAGATAAAAGCCTTTCTGCTATCCATCATCACTTCCCATAGTCCATTGTTTATTTTCACTTCAATTGTTGGATCTTTTTCTCTTCTTCTCTAATCGGTGCTATCAGTTGAAACTCCTCCTTTTCGGATCTTCTGGGCACCTCTCGAATTCTTGCTCCTTACTCCTATAGGGTTCACCTGGAGGACAGGTGATCTTCACTTGCTCCTGTATCTTCCTCTGAAATTCTTTCTTTCCAGAAACTATCTATGGATATGAAACAATTGGTACCGCTATTGGTGTCTGGTACGATTGTATTTGACCTTGTTCAGTTGAAACTGTAGCAGTGATTGTTGATTTGGTTTACACTGATTCTGCATAACCAAAGCTTCTTTTCTCCTTCTTCTTCTCCAGTTGTATTTGATTGAGTTTTCTGAGAGTTTCTTGGTCCTGTTCTTTCTGGTTGTGTTCCTTTTTCCGGTACAGATCCACTTGATGGGCTATATGATCTGTATAGACGCCTTTTGTCATGCTTCCAAGTCCAACCACTTCTGCCAGCTTGCTCCTTACCGGTAAGGGCAGTCCCATCTGTAGTTTAGCTCTCAAGATTGACTGCTCAATTTGACTCACATCTGGATCATTTCCGGTAATATTTCTCCATACTTGATGAACTCTTGACACGTAGGCTCTCGGATTTTCTTGTTGTCCTAGTGGGTCAATCAGAATGTTGTCAGGATGCACATTTGTTGGAAACGTATCCTTCAGTGCTCTCCACAGCCGATTCCTGCTTGCAGCCAACAATTCAGGATCATTCACAGCAGTTCCCACGTATCTATGAAGTCCAGCTCTCTGAAAAATTTCTTCCATGCCTGGAATCCCAAGGAGATTAGCCAAAAGTCTCTTAATGTCTCCTATGGCAGACTGTGTTCCCACCGTAATTTCTTCCAACTTTGAAATCCAAGGATATGCTCCATCTTGAAGAGTAGGCAGCTTCTCAAGTATATCTGACATATCGGTATTCTGCAAAGGCTTATATTCTAGGTTTTGTCCTCGAATGATCACCGGCATAATTTTCTTACTAGTGCCATCTTTCCTTGGCCTCAATGTATATCTCTTCTCAGATTCTTGGGATTCTTTTCTCAGCAGCTTCTTGAGTCGGTCTTCCAGTTCTTTTACTTCTTCTAAATCATTGGCCTTATACAGGTATGATACGCATCGGTCTATATCACCTTCTATTTCTTCTGTGTTAGTCATTGGAGGATAAAATCCTCTTGAACATGAAGCACCTTTAGTCTCCAAATCTTCATCGCTGTCTCCATCTTCATTTTCACCAGGGCTTGAATCGCTTGTATTCTTCTTCTTCCAACTTCCATCACCCCTTCTTTCCGCTCTGGCCAACCTCTGTCTGATGACAGGGTCATATCCACCCATGATCTCTTCTGAATCACTCTGATCATCCTCATCATCATCGTCATCATCAAGTTCCATCCTCCTTGATCTCACTCTACCCTTAGTCTCCAGACATCTCGTTGTCTTCCTGCCTTTGGAGTTTGGATTCATCTTTATGGTCGTTTCTGCTTGTCCCCTCTCTATTATTCGTTCATCCTCATCTCTGATGCAATAATCACCTTCCTGAATGATCACTGGAAGCTGAGGATAAACGTCCTTAAACTTGGCTTCTTTCTCATAAGGTGGGGGTGTTTTTGCTGAATCCATATATGAGAAAGGTGTATTGACTTCTGCAATCAGTTTTTCTGTCACCTTCACCTCTTTTGCCATTTTCTCTGCACCTCTGTCTCTCTTATCTTTTGTGTCTTTTATCAGTTTTTGTCCTTCATTTTCAAAAAGCTTAAGAACACCCAGCTCTCTTTGTCTTTTTTCTTTACGAAGTTTTCCTTTCTTCCCCTTCTTTTGATCTGTCTTATACGTGGATACAAGCACTTGCATTATCTTGATGACGTCTGGATTAAGTGTGCCTTCCAATGGCCATGGTTGTTCAATGTCAGGCCAACGTTTATTCCATTTTTCAGATAATTTTGCTATACCATTAACTAGTGGATTACTATTCTGTACTACATGAAGAGGAGTAATTGCTTTTGTAGTTTTGATGTCCTTTTTTCCCATTGTAATGCACTTGTTATGTGTTACCCTCTAGTTTTCCCCCTTTTTTTTTTTTTTTTTTTTTTTTTTTTTTTAAATTAAAAAATAATTAATCAATTAATCCAATCAATCAATTAACCAATTCAAATCAATACATCAATCAACCAATTCAATCAATCAATCA